CTGAAAAACTTTTCACCTCCCCCATACCTCTCCCCCCAATCTGAATTCAATCTTTCATCACCAATTTCTTTTTTTTTAAACCTCAAAACCCTTACCCTTTCCTGAATTCCCCTTTTAATTTTCTTTTTTTTCCACCCTACCAAATTCATCCCCAACTCTGCAACTTCTTTTTCAGAATCTCCCAAAGCACAGTGTCATCGGAAAAAGACACTGTGACAACCCCCCACTTTGTGTGTGATTTTTTAAACTTTTAACTCCACGCCTCTTCCAAAAAACCCTCGCATTTCCCTTCTTTTACCCCCCCAAACTAAAAATTTATATTAAAAAAACCACGGTGACACCCACACATCCTTGTCAAAAAGGCCTACTTTTACGGGGAAAAAAATTTTCCCCCTTTTTCCTAAATACTCTAATTTAGCCTCACTATCCTCGTAAAAACCCCATTCACTGCTTTCAGTAACCTACCCCCTACACCATACACTTGCAACATCTGCCAAAATGCCCCCAAATTCCACCCTTCAAAACCCTTTTTTCCAAAAACCCCATAAATGCCACAAGACCTCTTTAGCCTTATCTAAAAAACTTTTTTCCTTTTATTATTTTCCCTGTAAACACCTGGCCCACACACCCCCTCCCTTTTCCTAAAGCCTCCTTGTTCATCTGCTACCCAAACCTCCCGTCTTACTCTTAATTCTTTCAATTATAACTCTACCAAAAACACTTTACCGGGAAAAACTAAACAGATTTATCCCCCTAAAATTTTTTTGCACCCCCTCTTTTTATCCCCTTTGCCTTTAAACAAAGGAACTTTTGCAGCTCCCTCCCAAATCCCTAGGTCCCTTTAACCCTCTCCAAACTTTTTATTAAAAATTGAAACCAACCACCCAAAAACTAAAACCCCCACCTTCTTTAACATTTTATTTTTACCCAAACAATCCCCCTGCCTTACCCCCTTTCATTTTCCCAAATCCCTCACGAATTTCCCCCCACACTAAACAACTGGCTCTTCCTCCCCTCCAACAAGATTTTAAATTCCTCCTTGCCCATAAAACGAAATCAACAGGTTCCCTATCTTCTCAACTTTTTAACCCAATTCCTAAAAAAATTTTCCCTTTCCCCTCTTCCCAATACCTCTACCTCCCTTTTAAAATAACCTCCTCTCCTATTTTAAACCGAAAAAACCTTTTGTTCTCTAGGCTTTCTTAACTTGTTAATCTCACCCAAAAACTTTTTCTTATTTTCAAAAAAATTTTGTTGTAACATCTCCCCCCCCATTTCTCTCATTTGCTTTTTTTTTTAAACATTGCTTCAACCACTCTCTTAATTCTCTTTTTTTTCCCCATAAAACTCTTCCCTCCTTGCATCACTTCACTTTGTAAAAACCTTTTCAAGGGTAAATTTTTTCCCCCTTAATACTCCTTTACATCATCATTTCCCCCAAACGCTCCTCTTCCCTCCTGCACCCCACCTTTTCCCGGGAACCACAAACTTTTGCCCGAACACCTAACCCCACATTTTTAAACCTAACCCCCTACCCCTTTGACCCCAAAAGGGCCCATGCTCTCATTTCCCATCTATCCTCCAATAACTGTTTATACTTTTCCCCCAACTGCCCCTTTTTAGTTTATAAACCTTTACCTCCCCTCTTCCCCCGATGGGTTCTTTCTCCTTTTATCCCATCTACCTTTTAAATCTCAGTGGAAACTACAACTAAAAGTGATCGATATATCTGTGGGGCCCCCCTATAAACATTACATCCTGAAAAACTACTCAACAGTCTTTTTTTCTACCAATAAAATTAAAAAAACCCCCAAAACTACTGTCATTTCGCCCTACTTTTAAACGTGAAAACTTATTTTACCCTTTTTTTTTTAAAAAATGTATTAAACCCATAACTAAACCCCTTTTCTATACAAAGTTTCCCAAACAAAAAGCTCCCCTTAACATTTACACCCGGGCCCCCAAAATTTCCTTTCCAACCCCCTCAAAAGTTTCTCCTACTTTTGCATTCAATTCCCCCACCACAAAATTTCTCCTCACTTGGTTTCCCAAAAAATCCTATACATTCACTTAAAATCTCCCAAAAAACTCTCCTCTTTCCCCGCCCTTCCTCTCCCTTTTCCCAATTTCCCTCACCTTATTATGCCCCCCCTTCTCGCATCCAAAACCCTTTTCTTTAAAAACCACATAAATTTTTGAAATTTTCACATCATAACCTTTCCCCTTTTCTTTTTTCCTTCCATAACTGTTTATTTAACCCTTACTCTACCTCCCCTTCCCCCTTTTCCCCTAACTCTCTCAATACTCCAAAATTTTAAACCCATTTATTTCCCCCCCCGAAAAATCCCCCACCCCCCTTTAGCTTTGGGTTTTGCTTAGGGCCGGACATCAACTTTTTTTCATTCTAAAATCACAATCACTGTTTTTTGTCATCCGCACTACATCCAACGCACTTTAAAACAACCCAGTTTTTTTAAAGTTTTTTCTTTTCCTTTTTTGTAATTGTATACAGAAAAGGGGTTACTTTGCCCTTGCTTTCCCCGGGATTTTTGTCGCCTCATACGGGCACCATGGCTTTTCGGGGGAAAGATTTTTTTCCACTTTCCCCATGGACAATAGAAGAAATAAAAAAAAACAAGACTATTTAGAAAAAGGGGAAAAACCTAGATGTATGGGGTTTTATATATATATGCATGTTCGTGCTTTTGAAGTGTGACCAAAGTGTAAGTAGGGGTAGCAAGATATCCCCCGTTATCCAAACGTGTATAAAAATATATATATCCCATTTTATAAAAAAAAAATACATGTATAATTTTAAATATATAACAGTACTGGTTTTGTTTTGTATTTGTGGGGCATGCATGATTTTATGCTTATTGATTTCGTCATGTTTTTAAGTGTAAAACGTGGACCCCCGGTTTTCGTCCGTGTGGAAATCATACAATCGGGTTTTTTAAGCCTTTTTTGGGGGGTATTTTCCTCCAGGTTTTTTTAATAACTCGGGAATTGTTAGAACAGACCAAACCCCCACCCGCCCGAAATGCCCCTTCCACGCATTTCCAGACTCAGTCTCCTCTGTCTCTCATTGAGTTTGCAATACTTTCCCCTCGTTCATCCATTTTTTGTGCTTGTTTATTGATTGCGATTGTGAAATAAGCCACCATGGGGTCAAAGAAAGTTCAGAATGCAAGCCCTTTGATAAAGGTGAGAAACATGATAGAATTCAAGAAAGAACTTGTAGCAAAATATGAAAGTGGCGTACGTGTGGCCAAATTCGCCAGGATGTATGAGAAGTTGACATCGGTAATCAGTTCCACCCTGACAAAGAAAGCAGAAATCAAGGAAGCTGATGTTGTGAAAGGGGTATATATGCTAACGAAACAGAGATCACAAACAATCAAGGATGTGGAGTTGTTGTTGTTGGTGTGGATCAACGAAAAACAGCTATTGGGAGATAGTGTTGTGAAGGGCTTTGGTATGGCTTTTGATAGGACTTAAATACCAGAAGTCCTTACGGAGGAGGATTCCCCTTCCACACAGTAACCTCTCATCTCTCTCCCCTCCTCACCTTCTTCCATACGCCAACAAGAGTCTTCAATAAAGGTATGTAATAGTTAGTTTAATATGTTTATTATGCACCCCATACCCATCCTGTGGGCGGTAGTCAAAAGATTACAGAGGTACATAATTGGTCCAGGGACTGGACTCCAAAGTTTTGATAGCTGAGCAAGTTACAAAGGTAATGAACTAGATCTGGTCATAATCATGACCAAGTTACAAAGGTAATGAGCTCCAGGTAGAGCTGGTCACACTCATGAATAATTGCAAAGGTAATGAATCATAAACACATTAATCATGAGAATTTACAAAGGTAATGAGCTCCAGGTAGAGCTGGTCAAAATCATGACAAGTTTCAAAGGTAATGAATGATAAACACGTTATCACATGATTACAATCATAGACAAATTACAGAGTAATGAGTAGTTAACAAACATAGCAGGGAATTCATCCATTGCCCCAACAACAGATGTTGCTAGGTGCCTGTCTCTCCTCGGCAGACAGCCATTGCAAACAGCAGCAAGTTGCCCCAGGATCTGCTGCTTGCACGAGCACCATCGACCCTCCCCAAGAGGTCCAAGAAGCCAGTTACTCCGTTAGCAGCCCGATGGAGAGCTGCCCTAGGGACATGTCAGCGTCCTGGTGGTCGCCAAGTTAATTGAAGATCCCAGGCCCTCGTGTGCACAGATGTTGAAGCTTGAGGAACTGAGTACACACTGCCTGTGGCACACCTGACAGCTGCCTCGCGGTCGAACTCCACGATGCTGTCCCTGTAGTGGAAGTTCCTGTGAGCCCGGCACTCCCTGCAGTGCCATCGCTGACATCGTGGGTTAGGGGAGAAGTACCCTCTACAGATGGGGTGGCGCTGGGAGTTGGGTGGGTGAGGCGGGGAAGACGCGCAGGGGTGAGGCGTTATGAGAGGGTCACTGTTTACTACACACGCCCTCCCCCTCCCCCCCAGCTGAGAGGGGGGGAGGTGCTGACTGGTCCTGACTCGACAACACCAAATCCTCTGAAACTGCACAACACTTCAACTATTTACGCTGAAACGATGCACTGGGATGTCCGTTCGCTGCTCTGGTATCTTCTCAAAGCATTCACACTGAGTTCTGTTAAGTAGGGACCTGGTCAGCCTCTTTGACCAGGAGCTATCCTTGAAAATCCCGCAGCTAGCCCGCTACACAACCTGCCGTGTCGGCCATGTTGAGCCCTCCCTGAGGTATGTAATAGTGATTTAAATGTTCATTTATCCATTAAAATTAGTGCTTTATATTTATTTCTTATTGTTTTCTGTATGTAAAATTATAGTTATTCTCTATAAAACGTATTTTTTGTTAATATTTTTGGGAGCCTGGAACAGATTAATTGGATTTACTACATTATTTCTTATGGGAAATATTACTTCAGTGTTCATCCATTTTGGATTTCGACCGAACTTCTAGAATGGATTAAGGACAAAACCGGGTTATTACTGTATATACTTACCTGTAAGCAGTTTTGACTGTTCTAATATTTTTGTTTTGATTTCAGGGTTCAGTCGATGGGAGGCCACGAAGGCTCAGATGTACACAGCTGGTATTGGTTTAATGGGTGCATTGTTTACACTGTTCATCGGCACCTCCAATGTCTTGGGTGAGTTCGTACTAAACAGTGCACCATTTAATTACCACTCCTCTTGTCCTGATCAAAAGTAAAAGTTTTGAGGAGAAAATAATCATGGGTGGGTCTGCCTATCTTTCTGCTGTAGATGGTAGTTAGTTAGTCATGAGGATAAGTCATTCTATGGTACTGTATTTTATGTTGTGGATTACTACAGAAAAAAAAATATCACTTATCAGCAACAACGGCATAAATGCACATTGCGGTACTTTTGTTCTAACACTCTGGTCGTCTCCCACCGAGGTTGGGTGACCTGAGAAAGAAACACTTTCACCATTATTTACACTATCGCTGTCTTGCCAGAAGCACATAGATACAGCAGTTTAGATGTCCCTCTAAACACTAAATATCCCAAAACTCTCCTTTAGAGTGCAGGCACTTTTCACCTCCAGGACTCATGTCCGGTACTGGTTTTACAATGTATATGTAGACATCAAATTATGATTGTTTTTCCAATTTATTAGTGTCCAACACTACGTATGCTAGTTTCTTATGATGCTAGACATACTTCAAGGTGTTTCATTAAGTACAGTAAATTATTTCCTTTGGAATATCTGGGGACTGATTTGTTTGATAAACTTCAAGCACTAAATGCTGGTGTATCTTAATTAGAAGTACAGGCATTCCACGACTTGTGATGGGGTCACGTTCCGACGTATCCATCATAAGTCAAAAATATCGTAAGTCGAATGTGAATATGATACACTAAATAAATTAGTAAATAAATACTACTCTCACTGAATAAGTAAATAAACATAATTTTTGTAATTAACTGAATACCAGTATTGAAAAGTAAATAAACGATTACAAGTTATGGACTTGCCACCTTCATGCTTTTGCACCATGGTAAATTTGAAATATTGTAAATCGAACCATTGTAAGTCAAGAAACACCTGTATTTTTTATATTATTTTTGGCTTATGTAGGTGCCAGTTTTATGAAATAATATTTAAAAAAAAATCAAAATAAAATATTTTGTTGTGCAGGATTGTATAGCATTTTAACCCTTTGAGGGTCGACAGGCCCTCTCCGAGACTTGTTCTCAGGGTCGGCCAAATTTCAAAAAAAAAAATTATTTTTTCTTATGAAAAGAAAGAATCTTTTCCTGATCATAATGACACCAAAAGTATGAAATTTGATGGAAAACTTACGGAATTATGCTCTCGCGAAGTTAGTGGTCTCGACGATGTTTACGCATCGGCGATTTTGCCCACTTTGAGCCCTATTTTCAGCCAATTCCTGTGTACTAGTCAACAAAAATCATAACTATTTCTCTAGAACTCCATTTTTTCTATTGAATGAGTACAAGAAACCACCCATTTACTGATTAAAACTATCCAGTACAGTGGTTAGAATTTGGCAATTTTGCCAATTTCACACAAATTTCAAAAGATGCCAATTTCCAAATAGGGTCCAGAATAAACAAGAAAGACATTCCTGGCACTAAAATAACATTTCCTCTGTTCGTTAGTCACATCCCCAGGCCCCTCTTATATTTCTTTGGCTTTCCACTTTCAATTTTTATTCTTACAAAAAATAGAAGATTTACTGTTATGCAGACTACTGCATTAGTGTAGAAATGGTATAAATAATATCAGCGCACTTGTGAAAGAATATTAAACTCACCAGTTGACGTGTATTGGACGCTTGACATGATTTGTTTACTTTTGAACTTTGGTAAAAATCGAACATTTCTGCTACTTTGAGCTCAATTTCAAGGTACTTTTCATTGTAAGACCAGTCAAAATCATCTCAATTTCTGTAATATGTCTTCCATTCTACAAAATGAGACCAAGAAAACTAGAATACAATAATAAATACCATAAGAAAATACAGTGCAAAGTCACTGTTTTATTCCAAAAACACGGTCGAAGTTTTTTTTTTTCTCATTATGCACTGTGTCCTGCAGGATTTTTTTTATACTGTGCACACTGACCACATAGACCCATTCTTTCATATGTAGGCCTACCAGCTTTCTCCCACTAGATTTGAGGGCGCTAGAATTTAGGAGTACTAGTACGTCAAAAACCCTGGTGCGTAAGCCGTACTAGTACGACCGAAACCCTCAAAGGGTTAAATAGAATGTAAATGAAAAAGAAAACTGGATAAAAATAAAAATTCATGTTTTTATGGTAGTTTTAATTTACAAATAATAGGAACATCTCTGCAGTATTATACCTTCACACTGTTGAAGCCGAGAGTTCACTGAAACACATGTATTGAAGATTGAGACACTTATACAGCATATGGGAATCTTTGTTCAGGAAACGTTTCGCCACACAGTGGCTTCATCAGTCCAATACAAAGAGGAAGGCGTAAGGAGAGGAGCAGTATGAGGTAATCAGTCCCTCAGCCTGGAGTCGATGTGTTCAGTCCATCAATCTTGTAGAATGTACAGCATAGGGCCATAGACGTGGCTTATACAGTGGACCCCCGGTTAACGATATTTTTTCACTCCAGAAGTATGTTCAGGTGCTAGTACTGACCGAATTTGTTCCCATAAGAAATATTGTGAAGTAGATTAGTCCATTTCAGACCCCCAAACATACACGTACAAACGCACTTACATAAATACACTTACATAATGGAAGAGGGTAAGGTACCTAGGGATTGGCAGAGAGCATGCATAGTTCCTTTGTATAAAGGCAAAGGGGATAAAAGAGAGTGCAAAAATTATAGGGGGATAAGTCTGTTGAGTGTACCTGGTAAAGTGTATGGTAGAGTTATAATTGAAAGAATTAAGAGTAAGACGGAGAATAGGATAGCAGATGAACAAGGAGGCTTTAGGAAAGGTAGGGGGTGTGTGGACCAGGTGTTTACAGTGAAACATATAAGTGAACAGTATTTAGATAAGGCTAAAGAGGTCTTTGTGGCATTTATGGATTTGGAAAAGGCGAAATGACAGGGTGGATAGGGGGCAATGTGGCAGATGTTGCAAGTGTATGGTGTAGGATTTAGGTTACTGAAAGCATGAAGAGTTTTTACAGGATAGTGAGGCTCAAGTTAGAGTATGTAGGAAAGAGGGAAATTTTTTCCCAGTAAAAGTAGGCCTTAGACAGGATGTGTGATGTCACCGGGGTTTTGTTTAATTTAATTTATAGATGGGGTTGTAAGAGAAGTAAATGCGAGGGTCTTGGCAAGAGGCGTGGAGTTAAAAGATAAAGAATCCACACAAAGTGGGAGTTGTCACAGCGCTCTTTGCTGATGACACTGTGCTCTTGGGAGATTTGAAGAGAAGTTGCAGAGTTGGTGGATGAATTTGGTAGGGTGTGCAAAAGAAGAAAATTAAAGGTGAATACAGGAAAGAGTAAGGTTATGAGGATAACAAAAGATAGGTGATGAAAGATTGAAATCAGATTGGAGGGAGAGAGTATGGAGGAGGTGAACGTATTCAGATATTTGGGAGTGGATGTCAGCGGATGGGTCTATGAAAGATGAGGTGAATCATAAAATTTGATGAGGGAAAAAGAGTGATGGGTGCACTTAGGAGTCTGTGGAGACAAAAAAACTTTTGTCCTTGGAGGCAAAGAGGGGAATGTATGAGAGTTATTTTTTTTAAACCAAACGCTTTTATAGGGTGAAGCGTGGGTGATGAATGTTGCAGCGAGGAGAAGGCTGGAGGCAGTGGAGATGTCATGTCTGAGGGCAATGTGTGGTGTGAATATAATGCAGAGAATTCGTAGTTTTTGGAAGTTAGGGGGAGGTGCGGGATTACCAAAACTGTTGTCCAGAGGGCGAGGAAGGGTTGTTGAGGTGGGTTTTTGGACATGTTGAGAGAATGGGGCGAAACAGAATGACTTCAAGAGTGTATCAGTCTGTGTGGAAGGAAGGCGGGGTAGGGGTTTGGCCTAGGAAAGGTTGGAGGGAGGGGTAAAGGGGTTTTGTGTGCGAGGGGCTGGACTTCCAGGAGGCATGCATGAGCGTGTTTGATAGAGTGAATGGAACAAATGGTTTTTAATACTTGACGTGCTGTTGGAGTGTGAGCAAAGTAACATTTATGAAGGGATTCAGGGAAACCCGCAGACCGGACTTGAGTCCTGGAGATGGGAAGTACAGTGCCTGCACTCTGAAGGAGGGGTGTTAATGTTGCAGTTTAAAAACTGTAGTGTAAAGCACCCTTCTGGCAAGACAGTGATGGAGTGAATGATGGTGAAAGTTTTTCTTTTTCGGGCCACCCTGCCTTGGTGGGAATCGGCCAGTGTGATAATAAAAAAAAAAATACTTACATAATTGGTCACATTCGGAGGTAATCGTTATGCGGGGGTCCACTGTATACTGTAGTGAGGAGAGGTGAAGCAGGAGGAGGCGGGGTCATAGTGGTACCATCCACTAGTCGAAGTAGGTCTTCGTCCAAGGGTTGAACAAGGTCAAGGTTCAACACTTGTTCAACCTTTGGACGAAGACCTACTTCGACTAGTGGATGGTACCACTATGACCCCGCCTCCTCCTGCTTCACCTCTCCTCACTACAGTATATAAGCCACGTCTACGGCCCTATGCTGTACATTCTACAAGATTGATGGACTGAACACATCGACTCCAGGCTGAGGGACTGATTACCTCATACTGCTCCTCTCCTTACGCCTTCCTCTTTGTATTGGACTGATGAAGCCACTGTGTGGCGAAACGTTTCCTGAATAAAGATTCCCATATGCTGTATAAGTGTCTCAATCTTCAACTTGTCGGTTTTTCAAACCATTCATCACGAAACACATGTATTGTCAATTTTTTACTGGTAATAGTCACTTGTTTGAATAATAGTGACATTCATAAGTCTGTTTTTGGGTCATTAGGCTGAATTCCACTGTTATCATAAAATTGAGAAACATTGGGAACAAATTATTCATTTTCCCTGATCCACACTCTGCTTTCTGGTGGTTTTGTACTTGGTGGTATCATGGCTTCTGGTGCCACCTGTGTGTATGGTGCAGTAGCTTGTGTCAGGACTCCTTGTAATGCCACATGTGGTGTTTG